GCTCACGGTCTCTTTTCCAGAGCTCGTACAGCCGTCGCTCCCTCGATCTGAAAAACTTAATGTCTGTGTCGTGTGATTTTTGCGCTGCTTTCTTAGCTTAGTGTTGCAGTCAGCTCTTTTAAACCCAGTTCATCTCGTCTGTGCGGGTCGTTGGTGAGAGTATACAATCCACAATGTTTAATTAGAAGTTGAGGCTTAGGCTTTAGTGTTCACTTGGAACGGAAGACAAGACCCTGGGTCAAAGCAAACATTGGAATTGAAACTGAGATCTCCCACATAAAGCCAGGACTTTTGAAAGAATGTAACACTAGTACAGGGGGCGGGGGGGGGGGGGGGGAAGGGAAAAAAATCCACTGACTAGCAGAGGAAAATTAGCAGGAAGCCTTTTACCTTGATTTCTGAGTTGGAACAAAGAATTCCCTTAAGAATTTATAGACAGAGATGATGCCACACAATTGAATAAATACTATTAAGGAATTCCTAAGTCAAGAAACCAACATAAAAATTAGTCCTGGGTATTTGATATTCTTAGAGTGCTTAGTCTTCAGTGAATGAAATAATGGTTTGACGACTTACTTATCCATATGTCCCAGTCCACAAAGCAAATGTCATCAAACACTCAAGAATCTATATCATGGGCTGGGGATGTGGCTCAAGCGGTAGCGTGCTGGCCTGGCATGTGTGCAGCCCGGTTGGATCCTCAGCACCACATACAAACAAAGATGTTGTATCCACTGAAAACTAACTAAATAAATATTTAAAAAAATTTTAAAAAGAATCTATATCATATACATATCAATAAAGTATATAAATTTGGAAACCTAAAAATCATACTACATATGTCAAAGAACAAATCACAATAAAATTAGAAAATATTTATAAATGATGATGAAATACCTTACACCAAAATTTGTGAGTGCTATTAAAACAGTATGTAATGGGATATGTATTATCTTAATAAATCTGTGGGTCTCAATGTTGGTTCTCAGACCAGCAGTTTGACCAGGAACTTCACGAGAAATTTGAATTTCAGGCCCTAT